ACAAAATGATTGGTTTGCATATACACCAGCCTTTTCATCATTTCTTATGAATCAGCAACTTTTCATCACATCTCATGTCCTGAACCTTCCAGTTAGGCAACTAGTTGTTAAATCACAAAGGCTAAATTAATGAATGCCAAAAGTCTACCATATAATAAATATGAAATTTAGTTTTTTAATCCTTAGATCTTCAAATGCTCTTATCAATTTTGTACATTATTAACTTACCTAGGGGTCATAAAAAATATTTAAATATAGAAATATTTAGCCTAAAGAGTATTTTTTACTGTTTATTAATGTAAATTTTTGTCTTTTTCTTTTAGATTTGTAACTACTGGTACAGAATATTTTTCTTTAAACTGATTATTGCTTTACTTTTAACATGGTATTTAACAAAATTCCACCCAATTTTAGGACCAACTCAAGGCCTAACTGTGATATAAACAAAATGTGACTTAAGATAGTGTATTGCATGATCAGGCACATTACTTCATATGTAGATGGGATTTTTTTTTTTATGATGAATTATAAGAGCTAGTTCTCCCTATAATATTGAAGTGTTAGCATTTGTCGATGTCAGGCAGTTGAAATCAAATGAATTAACAGAGACGAAGTTCAAAATGATAAGTGACCCATGGAGTGTCATAAAACTCATAAGTAGCCACAAAAATAGCATATTGATACTGTTTACATAATTTATTTTGTTTTTGTGATACATTCGTATATATTCTCAGTTTTTGCTAAGAAAAACCACATATGTTAAGAATGGATGACTTTTGTTCTATTTTACAGTTTTAAGAAGCATTGAGAGTAAGAGATAGATCTGCATAGGCAAAATACATTGCATGTGATTTCTAGTCTATATTATATTACTCAGCAAAATATCTCACAAGTTAAAAAGGAAAGTTCCTATGTTGACACATGTATGAATTTTGATGTAAGCGTGTCTTAAGAAAGGAATTGTTTGGGAAACAGTCCCAGATAGAAAAGTGATATTTTTATAGTAGAAGAATCTTTGAGAGAGATGCTTCAAACTCTGGTTATGATTTTTATTATTGAACTAATAAAAATTACTTTTAAATATATTTAATGGCACCAGACTACATATCCAATAATCCTGTACTTGTCAAAGCTGTTTTTCTAAGACAGCCTCATATTAAAATATTGAATAATGAGTTACATAAATTACAAATAAAGCTTCGTGAACAACTGTAAGAAATTGCCTTCTTTCTTCTACCAGAGTGATGGTATTTAATACTGATATCACCTGGGGCATGAAAATATTTTAGTTGTTTAATTATATTCCAATTATACCATGAAATTTATGTCAGAAGTTATAAGAGGATTTTTAATATTTTAATTGGTCTTTATATAATTTCAAGAATGTAGTAACTCGTCTCAAATGTACATTTCTGTGATACAAGATCTGTATATTGCATTGTGTGCCCACCACAAAATAATGTTATTTTCAAGAAGAAAAGAATGGTATTTTCAAGATGAGGAAGAGAAGCCTGACATCAGTTTAGTTGTTAAACTATTATGATCTTTTCATTAGAACAATTAAACTGGCTATTGAATTTCTGTATTTATATATGTGTTTGTATAAATTTTTAGAAAATATAGCTTGTGAGTTTCTTAAAACACTATGTTCAAATAGTGTGCTTTTGGGGGCCATTTAGGACTTAACAGTTTAAATGTAAGATTTATCTCAAAATATATTGGTTATGGTATCTTGATGGGAATTTACTTATCATTAAAACTATTTATGTTTTGTTGCCATTTAGTTTGTAATTATATTCAGTTACAAACTGGCATGTGTCACTATGAAAATAAACTGTAGTCTCTGTGTCAGGGACATTTTAAAAATCCAAGTAGACACACTGCAGAGATGACAGTGACTTGAATGAAAGTCAAACAAAAGGGGGTTAATAGATGCTGTTCTTCTTTTGGTATATTATTCAAATAGATGGGCTTGAAGAAACTTGGTATTATTTATTATAAGCAACTATGTTATTGCCTTGCTTAGTACTACAGTACTCTGTGCCAAACATTGAAAGAAGAGAGTAAAGAAACCAAGAGGATAAATACATAGTAAATATAGTAAATATGGGCAAAAACATTTTTGTCAAGCATACGTTTATTGTGCATGTACTAAGTGCCAAGGGATATGGGTGCTCAGTGCTGGAGATAGAAAGTATGTCATGATTTCTGTTCTCATGAAGGTCTCAGTCAATTTGGCAAGACAGACAAACTAAAAACTAAAGTTACAGTATATTATAAAACAAATGATGTAATGAAAGTGAGCACTAAGCAATGTGGAAACATACAGGAGGAAACACTGTAAGGGGGTCAAGGAAGGCAGGATACCTGAATCTTGATGGCTTAGTAGAAGCAAGACACAGAAGAGACATTTTACATAGAGTGATGTTGCAAACTTAGAGAATGCATGGAGCCACAAGTAATCAACTAAGGATGGGATGGAGTTTTTAAAAACAAAAGTATTGACAAGGGATGAGGCTACAGGGGTGGGAAAAGATAGACTCTTCTAAAGAGCTTGGTTTTAATCTGAAATTGCAATTAAAGGGTTTATAGCAAAGAACATGAGTAGATGTAAATTTTAGAAAGATCACTCTGGATGCTACTAGAAAACTAAGAAATTTTCAATTATACTTGGAAACTCTTTGCAAGATAAGGATACATGTGAATAATTAAGTGAAAACGACATTCAAGAATTACGTTTGCACAACTAGGTTCTTCAAGGTGTTTTATAAAGCCATAAATTGAGTTTTTTGTATAACTATGTTACAGACAGTAATGGAATATTCTTAGTATAACCCTAAGCTGTGATCAAATATAAGCATTTGAAAACGAATTGGTGATTGTTGGAAATGCTGTCTGAACTCCTCTTTGCTTCATTGACTATTTAGTTTTGATCCTCTTTATACTAAATCAGATAATACTACTAAGTGATGGCATTTATGCCCTGGGTATCCCTGGTATATTCTTGTTTGTCTGGCCCTATCTGTAGTGCTGGGTTTATAAGAGAACAGTCAAAAGGAAAAGTGAAAATGAAACTCAGGTATGTAACATTATGAAAGGTTGAGATTTAAAAGGAGTTAAGAAGAAAGGTAGAAAAGTATCCTTTCCCTAATTGTCTCCTGTATTGTAACCTACCTCTACTTGCTCACATAAAATTCTTTTCTGCTGAAAATGGTATGTTAATGATTTTAAAGCTTATATAGCCCACCCCAAATATTTTTAACTGTCTATATTATTTTTATGGCTTAAGAATTATACAACAAATTTTATATTATAAACAACCTTCCCTTTTTCCTTGACACGGGGGCTAGACTACTAATTTGGACAGTGTTGTTTTTATTATATTAAAAAATTCCAAAATAGATATTATGGTTAATTGAGTAAACATAAACTGATTTATAATTGAAACCACAAAATAGAATGCAATAATTTATTTCAAAAAGTTGAATATGCTTAATTTTGGACATTTAGCCAAACAGTATGTGGTATATAGTAAGAGCTTATAGCATCCCAGTTATCAGCATGAACTCAGCAGGCTGCACCTTTCATAGCTATCAAGATTATTTAACTTAATCCAAATGAGTTGTGAGCAAGCTTTGAAAACCTCTGATTTCCACTAATATAAATTCAAGCTCTCATAAGAGTGGGTTTCTACTACTTTACCTACAACCAGCTTTACTTAAAATACTTTGCCACCTGGCTCTAAGACAAATGTCTTCCTGCAGCAAACTATAAATTACCTATATGAATGTATGTCTATGTCATTCATTATATATTCCACTTAATGACTCTAGACCTCTAAATGATAAAGTTATAGTGGGTTTATATTATGTGGTATTATCAACTTTAAATTACCCTATCTTGAAATACAGTGAAATTCTACTTAGCTGTAAAAAAGAAAATTTTACCCTTTGCAACAGTGTGGATAGACCTGGAGAACATTATGCTAAGTGGAATAAGCCAGTCAGAGAAAGACAAATACCACATGATTTCACTCATATGTGGAATCTGATGAACAAACAAAACTAACAAGCAAAACAGATACAGACTCATAGAACAGATGGCAGCTAGTGGGGTCGTGCGGGGGACGGTTAGTAGGTAGAGGAACTAAGCAAAAAGGAAAAAGGACTCATAGACATGGGCAACAGTGTGGTGATTGCTGGTGGGAGGGTGGTGTAACGGGACTACATAGTAATGGAAAAAAACCACCATAAAGATTAAATTAAAAAACAAAAATAAAATATTGTGGAAAAACTGTACTTCTGCTGTTTATTTTAAATCCTAGATTATTTAATTCAGAATGGAAAAGAGTTGGAGAAGTAACTTATAGTTTTAATCTTGCCATAAAGGAAAATTGGATTATGATATTGAAGAAGAGCTTGAAGAAGTAAGAACACACTTAGCCAGAGTTCATATAACAAAAGTTTATTTTCTTAGGTTCATCTAATCTGTACTATTCCGTCTAAAAGTGGTAGACCAAATGGAAAACTTAAAGGCTGCTCTTTTATGATAAGGAATTGACAGTGAAAGCAGTAAATACTCTTTTAAGTTAATTTTGTGCTTGCACTCTATCTCAGTTTTTACCTACTGAGGCTAATTTGCAGGTGCCTGGGATGAGTACACAATCCATAATTTCTACCAATCAAGTAAAAGAAGGAAAGAAAACTCTGAGCTTCCTTCCCAGTTAACAGGTAGTTTGCTGTGGTTAAAATTAATGCAGAATTTACAGCAACAAATATCAGCATTATCATTTACTATGAATAATTGATTTCAAATTTGGGAAATGAATAGTTGAGTGCATCATTTGAGCATTTATATGACCAGTTACTTATTAGTGCAAGAGGCTATCATTTAAATTTTTCTCTGTATGTTGTGGCAAATCAGTTTGTTTCTTTCTTAATTTTTAACATGTTTAATATATGTGGTTACTTTGACTTGAAAATACATTTTATTCTTTGCAGTGTTTGAGCAATACACCTCCACTTACTGAATATTTCCTCAATGATAAGTATCAAGAAGAACTGAATTTTGACAATCCCTTAGGAATGAGAGGTGAAATAGCTAAATCTTATGCTGAATTGATCAAGCAAATGTGGTCTGGAAAATTTAGCTACGTCACACCTAGAGCCTTTAAGGTTAGTAGAGTAAATTACGTTTTCAGAGATGGCTGTATCACCCCCAAGAGGACAAAATTGGCTTTGGGGGGAAAGGGTAAAAAATCATAGCTATTACAGTGCTTGCTCTGCAGCCCTTGTAGCACACATAAATAGATAAATAGTATTATTTGTGGTATTAAATTTCTAGCTGGAGTATGGGACAGAGGATTAGTTTTAAAATGTCTTTTAAAGTCTCTGGAGGGTGGGGAGGAAAGGGCTGAAATAATGAAAAATTATGAAGTGTCATGTATAATTCTTAAACTTTCAAGTTTATTCTAATTTTCAAAGTGGTTACTTCTTAGAATCAATAAAATCTCAAGTAGTTTAACATCATTAAAATTTTGAAGAAAATAAGTAGTTTTCAGCCATTCTTATACAAACATCCTAAACAACATTCTTATAGAACATCTAGGTAACATTTTATTAACTATATTAGTTCTTTAAAAATAAAAAACAGCAATAAAGAAACTTCTGTATAACTTTCTAAAGTTTGGACAAACTAGTTCAAACCATTTCTCAACCCTTACCCATGATTGGTTTCATGAGTTTCATTTTGCTAGATAATTATCTTTTAAAATGGTGTGAATTTGCTTTTGATATGTGACTTTTCTTCTTCCACAGTTTTTTTAGTCTCATCAAAAATATACATAGTGCTGCAAAGACTAGGGACATTATATGCCAACATGAATATTCTTGTTAGCTCTATGAGATTCATCCACTTTTTATACACAGAAACTGAATGAGATCTTTGTAACTTTTTTCTAGTGACCCAGAAATATTATTGAATTTTAATCTTATAGTGGTTCCCAATTATTAATTAAAAAAAAACTTTACCATATGCTTTCCTTATTCTTTCCTCAGGTCAGCATTTCTACTTTACATATTAGTTATTTAAAAATATCTTTAGTTATGCAATTATATGTATTTATGTAGTTATCATATCTGCAAATGCCTGTAAAAATGCCATTAGTTGATTTAGGGTTTAAATACATTTTAGCAAGGAGGTAATTCACAAATGTGGAAGTCACAAATAATGAGAATTGACTACATGTTTTCTTTTGTTTTGTTTTGTTTTGTTTTTAATCAGTCTTGTCCCTGGAACTGATTTTATAGTTTTGCTTTTCTTACAGACACAGGTAGGACGTTTTGCACCTCAGTTCTCTGGGTACCAGCAGCAGGACTGTCAGGAACTATTAGCTTTCCTATTAGATGGACTACATGAAGATTTGAATAGAATTAGGAAAAAACCATATATACAACTAAAAGATGCTGATGGAAGGCCAGATAAGGTAAATGTAATGATATTATTGTCACCATTGTTTTAATAATGTGATATCTCTGTGTAATATGTGTGTGTGTTCTTCATAGGTAGTTGCTGAAGAAGCCTGGGAAAACCATTTAAAAAGAAATGATTCTATCATAGTAGATATATTTCATGGCCTTTTTAAATCAACTCTAGTTTGTCCTGAATGTGCTAAGATTTCAGTCACATTTGATCCTTTTTGTTACTTGACACTTCCATTACCCATGAAAAAAGAACGTACCTTGGAAGTTTACTTAGTTAGAATGGACCCACTTACCAAACCTATGCAGGTACGTAATGATTATTTTTTTGCATTTACTATTTTTTATAAAAAATTAGTATTTATTCCTTATGCCGCAGCACAGTCGAATAATAATGTTTGTGTAAGATTTTATAAGCTAGACACTTTGGAAATTAGTACAACTTTTTAGAAACTTGAAAGGGTGAGGATGTGCAAAGTATCATTATTTGTCCTATACAAACAAAATTCTCAAAGGTTTTTTCTTATCAAAGAAAAATGGGAAGTTGTTTGATTTGACAATGTTGGGGTGAACATTAGCTTACAAAGATTTTTAATATAGTGTTATTTCCCAACTTTAAATTTCTTTCATGTCATGTATAATTTTTCCTAGTGGTTATTGGAAGTAAAACTAATTCCTGTTTTGATTCATTATATAAGATAATGGTAAATTTAAATACATGTACTTTTTATGTATCTTAAGAACTTGGAAGAGAAATCAAAATATAGACTAAAAATACTCCCTTCAATGATTGACTAATCTTTTAATAGTTTGAAGTATCAAATATTGTTTATTCAAGAGCCCTGTGCTAGGTCTTCATATCAATTGTCTGCCTGATTTCATTTCCTAGTGTTATAATTGGATTATTTTACATTTTGTGGAGCAAAGTACTATATTGTCTTCTTTTAGTTATCAACTAATTTGTTTCTGACACTTGACCCACCCTATAAAAGTAGTTTCTTCTTCTACTCTCTGTTCTCCTAAATTCTTATTATAGCACTTATTAAATATCATTATGACCTGTGGTTTATACTTGGATCTTTTCTCCTCTAGACCATGAGTTCTTTGAAGATAATGTAAATATCTCTGGAGGGACTTTGTAAATCTTTGTATTTCCAACCCTCATGATTGGAGGTACCATTGCAGCGGTAGTGTTCAAAAAATTCATTCATCTATGTATTGGACACCTGCTTAGTATAAAGCTCTGGTAAACAAAGCAGACATGGTTCCTAATACAGAAGATTGTTCACTAAAGATCCTCAGTTTAGGCTTCCAGCCAGATAGTACAGTTTGTTAGAACATAATATTGTATTACTGTACTCAGGATGCCATAACAAATTACCATAGACTAAGTAGTTTAAACAGCAGAAATTCATTTTCTCACAGTTCTGAAGACTAGAAGACTAAGATAACAGTGCCAGCGTGGTTGATTTCTAGTGCACTCTCTTCCCGATCTACAGACAGCCACTTCCTCAGTGTGTCCTCACACAACAAGGAGAAAGAAAGTACATACTTAAGCTCTGTTATTTTGTAATTTTTTCATCCTCCCCTGAGTATATGTTTATTGATTTTAGAGAGAAAGGAAGAGGGAGAGAGAGAAACAGAGGTAGAGAAACATCTATGTGAGAGAGAAATATCATTCAGTGCTTCAACCAACTGAGCCATCTGGCAAGGGCAACATAGAAATATTGAGGGGACACAATTCAGCCCATAGCAATATTCATGAAATCTATTGGAAAGTTAAACTTTGACAGGTTTGGTCTTACCATACATTTAGTAGAACTGTTTGGATTTACTATCAACAAGGGTGCAGTGTATGAAATGGTTATAAAAATAAGGTCCTTTCATTATAAGTAATTAAAGTTTAGTAGAGACTAGTTATTTATTTACTCAGTTAAGCAAATTTCACCCATTTCTTTTGCTGCAGCTTTTCCTTCATGAACTCATTGAATTTGGTGCCCTCCTGTCAGTATTTCATCCAGTAGTGCTGAGAGTATTGTAGAGAGCAAGAGAAACTTGGTACTTACCCTTGTCCATGAGCAGGGCCAGTAGAGATCTGGTTTTTCTTTTTGGCCAGGGGATATGTTCACATTTCTAAAGTCATATCCCTTAGATACTCATTTATTCACATGTTTATAAGATTGTCAACATCTTTATCAATGCAAGAAAACTGTAGCAGTACTAAACTACACCCTTGCCTCTCTCATTTGTAATTTACAAATATATGCCAATGAGTATAATAGAATAAGAAAAATATAAAACAATGAGTAAAAATTTTATTATAACACCAAAAAAAATGTAGATATTCTTTCTCTACAGTACCTTTGTTAAAGGCAGTACTCTCCCATGCCAACAATATAAAGTAATCTATATTATACAGATTGCATTCAAGTTACACATTAGCCTGTAAGGTGAGTGTAACTTGATTTATTTATACTTACGGATTATATTTTCAGCAAAGTGGATTTCATTAAGTTACCTCTTTTCTCACTTGATAACCAAAAATATAAATTTGTGGAGGTTAAAGCCATGGACAGCACAGATGAATTGGGATTTTTTTTTCCACTTTGAAGTAGTCACAACACAAATACAAAATGACAGCCTCATGGTTCTATGCTTTAACCTGTTGCAGAGGAAAGGGAAATTAGCTGAGTTAACCTACTTGTTTTTTTTCCATCACTGAAGGCTTTTTTGGTCATCAGAGTTTATTGTATTAAACATGTATTCTAAATACAAAGATGTTCCTAGTCCTTGTTCTCAAAAAGTTTTTCATAGAGTGGTAAAAGGGCTATGACTAGGTACTGTATGAGTACACAGAAAGAGTAACCTGCCCAAACTGGTGATGATTCCTATGTTGAATCCTGAAGGATGATTAGGTTTTGAGCACATGAAAAGTAGAAATACAAGCATTATAGACCGAGAAGGAGGCATGTACAAAGGGCTAATGGCAAAAGAGAGAGGACATGACCCACTTTTAGAAACTGGTAAATAATAGGGTAAGCAGAAGCTCCATCACAAAGAACCTTGATGTCATGGTGGGAAGTTTGGACTTTACCCTAAAGACTAAGGGAGCCATTAAAGATCATGAAGTAGAGAGACTAAGTGGCCAGATTTGTATTTGAGAAAGAAGACTGGCTAGTGCAAAGATTGGGTTGGAAAGGCTTAGAATGGATGGGCTAAGACCAGGCAAGATGTTTTTGCAGTGATCAGATGACAAATGACAAAGGCTTGAACTCTTAACATTAAGGTTAGTGTCAGCGTGAATCAGTTGAACATAGGAGATGAAAATGTTGAAGAGTGTTCAAAGATGATGCCAAGTTTGTTGGACTGGAAAACAGAACATAAGGCACAAATAACCCATGTGGACAAGATTGGAGACACTGTGAGCCAAATGCCTAGGCGTGAATGTGAGGAAGAGAACATGAGGCCATTCTCATCTACTGAATATTTTTTTGGCAAAGTAATCAATTCATTATAATTGTTTTGTGTTTTAGTACAAAGTGGTTGTGCCCAAAATTGGAAACATACTTGATCTTTGTACAGCATTGTCTGCTTTATCAGGAGTACCTGCAGATAAGGTAAGATGTTTCTGGGTTCGAAGTACATAAGTTCAAGTTTAGTTTTGCAGTGTTGTAAAACCAGCTCAATAGAAATATGTTGTTTTTTTTTAGATGATAGTTACTGATATATTCAATCATAGATTTCACAGAATATTCGCAATGGATGAAAACCTTAGTAGTATTATAGAGCGGGATGAAATTTATGTGTAAGTATAAAATTCATTGTGTAAAATATTACTTGAGGAAAATTCAAAAGAATAACATAAGAGTTTTCAGAATTTATAGTCAGTTTTGTCCTTGTAGGTTTGAAATTAACATCAATAGGACAGAAGATACAGAGCATGTGATTATTCCTGTTTGCCTAAGAGAAAAATTTAGACACTCAAGTTATACCCACCATACTGGTTCTTCACTTTTTGGTCAGCCTTTTCTTATGGCTGTACCACGAAACAATACCGAAGATAAACTTTATAATCTTCTGCTTTTGAGAATGTGGTAAGTGTCAGATGATTTTACATTAACAATATAAAATAGGTAAAGAAAGTAAACGTGGAAGGTACTGTCAAAATATAATTAGATAATTCTGTATTGTCTTAACTTAGTTTGGAGACATAGCAATTAAAAAAAACCAAGTATAGTCTGATCCAGGTTCTTGATCATGTAAAACATTACTAAGGTAATTTCAGACTCCCAAAGCATGAATTTTTTTAGCTGTTATACACCAAAAGTTAACAGCTGGAAGAAAGTAAAAGTTTGTTATGTATGCACTCTGAAATCCTAGTATCAGATGTCTTATTTCTTTATAACTACTGCTCGTTCAAGAACTCATGAAAATAGATTTATCTAAAAGGATAAACTTTCATGGTTGATAGTATTGTAAGGCAGCTGCTTTCCGTCTTCCGAAAACCTTGATTTGAATTTTAAGTTAATCAGGAATGTCACTTGATCCTTTATAGCTGACATAGTTAGTATTCTTAAATACCTATTTTAATCATTGTAGTCCTATATAACCCATAAAGATTGCATCATACAACAATAAATGATCTTAGCAATAATATATATTTCATCTAAATAAGGATTTTTATATAATACTTTTTTAAACTGAGGAAATATTTGCCACATATTTTAACACATAAAAACAGGTTAAAATGCAAGAAGAACAAATTAATTTTTTATAAAGACAATCAAAACAAATGATTAGTCAGTTGTACTTATGGAACTTTATCTTGAGTCTGACTTATCCTTGAGTCTACTAAATGACTACTGTTGGTGCATTAAAAAGTTTTGTTTTATTGAAAGAAAAGTTTTTTAAGTTCTTACCTTTACAAAACTGAACTTGTTTGATTTCTAATTTTATTTAAGCCGATATGTCAAAATATCTACTGAAACCGAAGACACTGAAGGATCCCTACACTGCTGTAAGGACCAAAATATTAATGGGAATGGCCCAAATGGCATACATGAGGAAGGCTCACCAAGTAAGACTTTCCTATTAAACTGTAAAAACTCTTCACTTGGATTATTGCCTCAGAGAGAAGTTGGGGTTTGAGGAACTAAAAAATATCTGCAAGCCTGAGAAAAATAACGTTAGTATTAATAAGTTTTAAATGTAGCACTGAGATTATTTAAAGATTTCTAATATCTAAAATTAGGTGAAATGGAAACAGATGAACCAGATGATGAATCTAGCCAAGATCAAGAACTTCCCTCTGAGAATGAAAACAGTCAGTCTGAAGATTCAGTTGGAGGAGATAATGATTCTGAAAATGGATTATGTACTGAAGAAACTTGCAAAGGTCAACTCACGGGACACAAAAAACGATTGTTTACATTCCAGTTTAACAATTTAGGCAATACTGATATCAACTACATCAAAGACGATACCAGGCATATAAGATTTGATGATAGGCAGCTTAGGCTAGATGGTAAGTAAGTGTTTGTGAAAAATGGCTTGATGTGACAACTGTAATAGCATAATCAATAAAATATATTTTAAAAAATGATTTGATGGAACACTACATTTGAGCAAAGTATGTTACTTTTTTCAGGTGAAAACCACCAAGTTCAACACATGAATTTTAATATTTACATATCTATCTAAAATCTCTTTTAAAAAGCCTTAATTTCTAAGTATACTAAAACATGTGTTTATTAGGTTTTATTTTATTTTTTAACTCCTAAACTATTTTAATGGCTTGGAAATTGCCCTGATCACCTAATAAAAGTAAATATGACTGCTATTTGTTTATTCTCATATATATCTTAACATTAAAATACACTGATTTTAACATTAAGGCATATTAAATTTTAAAGAAAAAATATGTTTTCCACCTTAGAAAGATCTTTTCTTGCTTTGGATTGGGATCCTGATTTGAAAAAAAGATACTTTGATGAAAACGCTGCTGAGGTAAGTCTTCACAGACTACTTCTTTATCTTTTCCGTGTTGATCCACTACTGTTCTGTTACAGTCTTTGCCTTCTACCAGATGTGTTTATTTTGCCAGTATAAACTTGGTTAGTTATATACTAGAAAAGACGTGTTAGTTTGAACATGCTTTCTTTTTGTACTTTCTAATTGTTTTTAGGTGTGCATACAGGAGTTATTTAGAAGGGTAGTGTAAATCAGCTGAAATAAGCTTTATGTTTCTTTTGAGAAAGTTTAGGAGTTTTTCATTACTATTCATAGTAAGATGGTATCACTAAAATGAGTTTTGTTTCATTTGTTTTCTTAACTCAAGAAATACTTCTCTTTAGGATTTTGAAAAACATGAAAGTGTGGAATATAAACCGCCTAAAAAACCCTTTGTGAAATTAAAAGATTGCATTGAGCTTTTTACAACAAAAGAAAAGCTAGGTGCTGAAGATCCTTGGTAAGAAACAAAGTTAAATAATTGCTTCTAATATTTTTTAAGAATGTATACTGAGGTATGTGCTACAGGGAGTTAGGTGATTACTAAATTCTCTTTCATATTTTAACTACTAAGCATTTTGTATATGATAATACTCTATTAAGAGGGATGAGAATGTTTACAAAAGTATTATAACGTTAAGTTTTAAACCCATTACTATATTTTGCATAATATCCATTTTACTATGAGTAAGTCATTTGAGTTACTTTTTCTGGAGAATTTTTAGCTGTGCTGCCATTTTAAGAGAAACTGTTTTAGGGAAATTGTAATATGTTTTGTGGTATTATTCTATTAGAGCCCAGAAACTTTGAGATTTTTCTAATGTATCTAACTCAGCACAGCTTTGTGATACACCCATGTCTTTTTAGCATACTGAAATGTAAATAATCTAGCCCTAATCATTTATTTGAATACTTATTTGCATACTAGTTTATAACAGTTAAATCTATTTGGAAAACATATTGAAGATAATAGAAATTCCTTTTAATCTAGTGTATATTAGACATACAGCAACTGCTCACTGAAACAATATAGAACTTTTCAAACTTTTTTATATATAGTGTTTTAATTGCCTCTACCAAGCTTTAAATGTTTCTTTTTACCTTTAGGTATTGCCCAAATTGTAAAGAACATCAGCAAGCCACAAAAAAATTGGATTTGTGGTCCCTGCCTCCAGTACTTGTGGTACATCTCAAGCGATTTTCTTACAGTCGATACATGAGAGACAAGTTGGATACCTTAGTTGATTTTCCTATCAAGTAAGTTTTGGTTATACTTCCTAAACATTAGACAACTCTAACTTTTTGTAGACATTAGGTAGCATTGGGCCCAGTTTCAGTTCTTGAGTGGATATTTCAGTAGTTCTAACAATCTGTAAGGATCAGTAACAATTTTTATTTCTACTTAGAGATTTTTTTCAAAGAACAAAACGAAAGCATACTTAAAAAAAACTCATTCTTAGCCCTGGCTGGCATAGCTCAGTGGACTGAGCGCGGGTTGCAAACCAAAGTGTCGCAGGTTCGATTCCCAGTCAGGGTACATGCCTGGGTTGCAGGCCATGACCCCCAGCAACCACACACTGACGTTTCTCTCTCTCTCTCTCTCTCTCTCTCTCTCTCTCTCTCTCCCCCCCCCACTCCCTTCACTCTAAAAATAAATAAAATAAAATAAAAACTCATTCTTTATTACGTTATTGTGGGTTCATCGGTCTTGTTTATAAATCTAAAGATATTCATGGGACCTTAGTGATTTTTTTTTTCTGAGAATTAATCATCATTCCTAAATATGCTTTTTTTTAAGATTTTTTTATTTACTTATAGAGGAGAAGGGAGGGAGAAAAAGAGGGAGAGGGACACCAGTGTGTGAGAGGTACATCGATCAGTTGGGTCTCACACTCCCTCACCTGGAGACGTGGCACACAACCCAGGCACATGCCCTCACTGGGAATGGAACCAGTGACTTTTCAGTTTGCAGGCTGTTGCTCAGTTCACTGAGCCACACCAGCCAGAGCCTAAGTATTCTTTTTAAAAAATAACTAAAGTAATATATAAAACCAGAAAAATAGAATTGCTTAGAAAAATAACACAGTGTTATTATGTCACCACCCTTCAGTTTTCTTATGGCATTGTTGGGAGCATGACATCATAGCCATAGTAAGGTATAAAGCATTCTGGAGATAACATATTTATAGTCCTTTTTTTAAGCTTTCACTAAACATATTTGAGAATTCAGAAGGACCAAAAGGGAATATTATGTTCTCATTTATGTAGTCTAGGAAGGACTTTATCAAACAAAATTTTGCAACAAGAACTCGATACTCTCCCATGTTGCTAAAAGCACATTGATAGACAAATGCTGAAGGCAGGTATATATTACAGAGGCAATTGTAAGGGAATAATTACTATAATATTAAAAACATTCTGTGGATTGCTTGTTCTAATTGGTGATTATAAATTTAAAGTCGAAGTTGTTTTGCAGTTACGAAACCAAAAAATGATAATTTTCTCTTTAGCAAAATTGTGCGCCATCTAAGTTCTCAAGAATATAACATTTTGACAATATAATTACAAGAAGAACTGGAAGTAATGATAAGGTAGAACCTATTAGAGATGTATTAGAAGTTTAGAGTCATTACTGCTTTTTAATTGGGCAAGTACAAAAAGAATAACCAGAAGTAATCGTAAGCTAGAAGATGGGCATGTTCCAGTTTCATGAATGACAGATTATAAATAGCTGGTTGCATTTCAAAAAATGTTGCGTATCTACATATATGTCAAACACTACTGATAGTAGGGAACAGAATGCATTACGTTTAGAGAAAACATAAAACTAACTTGATCTGTTTTTAAAACAGTGACTTGGATATGTCGGAATTCCTAATTAATCCAAATGCAGGTCCTTGTCGCTATAATTTGATTGCCATTTCCAACCACTATGGAGGGATGGGAGGAGGACACTGTAAGTTGACAGTTTCTCTTTTTATTAAAATTATGTTTCCATAACTCCAAACTTTTTCCTTAACGTGTCTATTACTTCTTAAAGGGAAACATGAGATATGTCTTTCATGTAGTAGTTCAGTAAATGTTGATTAATGAATGAATCTGCTTTTGAATGTTTTTTGACATCAGGATTAGAGGATTGAGTTCTTCATACTGCTTATTTAAAAGAACAGGAAGATTACATGTCTATTCTGGGCTCCTGTCCTTCTCCATTCTCTTTCCCCTTCTCTCGCTAATGTGTTTAACATGTGTGTATCTCTCTTATAAATCATGCATCATTGTTAAATTACATGATTGGTACTGTGCTATAAATCTTACCTTTTTCTCTTAACACTTAGCATGTGTCCATATATTCTGTTGCTTCTAAACTCATGACTCAGATATATCATATTTTATCTCTCTACTAAATTAAGGTGTACATCTAAATTGCCTTTAACTTTCTACCACCAGAAGATTGATAAACATCATTGTTTATGGTCCCCTTTGTGAGAATTTCTTTGAGCTACACTCCCAGAAGTGAGATTGCTGGATCATCAGTACCTAAGTACTGCTACATGGCTGTCTAGGCTGGTTATACCAGTCTACACTCTTCAGTTGATTTTTCTATTGAAACATCTTTGCATTCCTGGGAAATCCTACTTATCTTTTAGTATTTTGTATATACCCAGTTGGATTTGGTTAATAATTTTATTTAGGGTTGTTGCAATTAATTTGTAAGTGCAATGTCTACTCTAATAAAATGGGCTAGGATTCTTTATGTTCCCCAAAGCAGCAGAGCATTGTATAGGAATTAACTATTCATGAAAGTCTAGGAGAATTAACCTGTAAAAATTCACCTACTTGGGCCCTAGAGCCTTAAACTTTTCTATTTATGTCATGCTTTTGAAGCTTATCCAGTGTTCTTTTTCCAAAATGTGCACTTTATGCCATTTTCTTTTTTCTAAAAATATACCTATGTTTTCTAATTTATTTGAGAATAATTGTTTATGATAGTCTTATGCTATTTTTTTTTCTTTACCTTGTATCTTTTTTTTTAATTGATCTTCTCAGGTCCGTCTTATTACTCTTCAAAGAATTAGCTTTCCATTATATTAATTTTTCCTATTTGTTATTACATGTATGTATTCTATTTTATTGATTTCTTCTCTTCCCTTTGGCATTTTTTTCTTATTGTTACTTTGGGTTTGTTCTGTTGTTTTTTTCCCAATTTTTGGGGTTGAGTGCTTTTTTTTTCCTCTAGTGAAGGCTATAGTAAAAGTTCTAAATTTCCTTCTAAATACTACTTTATCTGTATTCCATAAAATTTGGAATGTAGTTAGTTTTCAATTGTACACTTTTCTAAATGGTTTTAATACAGCTCTCCTTTTGTTGTTCATTTGGTAGCGAGCATTGTCTGTATTATATTAATCCATACAAATTTATTAAGGCTGCCATGTGGCTTAATAAATGGTCTGTTTCTTAATGTTTGTGTGCTTGAAAAACATATATTTTCTATTCAAACAGAGTTCTATATTGCTCTAGTAGTTTAACCTTATCAATTCAAATTATTACTGTCTCTGATCATTTTTCACGTTCATTCCATTTCTGAGGGGAATTTGTCAGGACTTCTATTGAAAGTGTTGATTTATCTGTTTTTGTTTAACAGTTTTATTAGTCTTTTGGCAGTATTAGTGGCATTTATGTTTATAATGGGTACCTCTTCTTTCTCTGTTATTCCTTTTTCCAGGAGTTGACATTCGTTTTTCCCTTTTGTTCTTCTCAAAATTATAAATGTTAGTCTAGCTTTCTCTTGATATCATTTATTTTGCCAACTCTATGAACCTTTTTGTAGGATTTGTTCTCTATAAACCATATTGCTATTAGATTTTGTCTTTTTATTCAGTCTAACAATATGTTTCTTTTAATTTGTAAGTGCAGCAGCGACTTACAAATATGAGTTCATATTGACAAACTTACGGCCCACAATAGCATTCACCCAGAAGAACAATAAGTGTGTGTGTGTGTGTGTGTGTGTGACAAAATTTAGAAGACACCTATAAAGTGTCATTTTTAAAAGTTATGACAGCAGATCATTGTTTGGGAGACATTTTGACACTTTGTTTTCTCAGTTCCTAGGTAGTTTATACAAAGCATGGAATGGGAAAAGGGCTGTTTTTTCAACTTAAAGATGAAGCAGATCTTTAAAAATTGTAGAGATTAATTCATCGTTTTGTACCTTTCTCTTGCTCTGTACTTTTGTTTAAGACTGAAATGATTTTGGTGTAAAAACCACTACAAATTAGTGAGATAGAATTTTTGCAAAAACATTTGTCATAGAAACTTTAAACTTTGGTTGAAGTTTCTAACTTTGGGGTCAGAGACATACCTGTGTTTGAATCTTAACTCTGCTACCTAGCAGCTACGGTGTTGGAGAAATTAAACTTCTTGACACCTCACTTCCTTATCTCTAAAATTGTAATAACAATAATACCTTCATTATAAATAATGCATGTAAATTGCATGGCACTGTGTCTGGTACATGATAAGTGTTAACTACCATTTATTATCATTAATATTGTTATCCTGTGAATTAAAAAATAATAAATTTGTTCTGTTTGTCACTGGGATGAAAAAAGTTATAAGTTATCTTACATGAAAAGTATTTTAGGCTTGTAGATTATAGGGAATTATTCTAAAAACCTTTAATGAATGGAATCAGCTGAATGGGTAATAAATAGGCCTTATATAGATGATTCTCATATGATTTTAATAGGTATTCCTCAGAGAGATGATTTTAAAGTTTTAGGGTTCCCCCCAAGAAGCCATAAATCATTTCAGTTATAGAAGTGATTATATTTTTTCATTAGATACTGCTTTTGCAAAAAATAAAGATGATGGAAAATGGTACTACTTTGATGACAGTAGTGTCTCAACTGCATCTGAAGACCAAATTGTGGTAAGTGTGTCTTTTATTTCCTAAAATCAAGGAACCCAGTTTTAAAAGGAGCCCATAAGAGACACTGCAGTCCATATTCTAGCAACTGTAATAGCTAAGAGACACTTGCTCTGATTTTTAAAAATGTAAAATTGTCCCCTAAGTGGAAATTTGTTTTCTGAATTTGCCCACTAACAAAAGTATAAACCGCAGTATGGAAATTTTCCTAGTAATTTTCAACATGAAAACTGGGGTTTTCTACAAAAAATAACAAATTATTTTATAATAAAAAATTTCCTCCAAGAGTAGGCTCAGATATATCTAGACATTGACTACTTAAAATCAGAATGCAAAAATAGAAAAAATGTTTTTGCCCTGACTGGGTGACTCAGTTGATTGGAATATCATCTCATACACCAAAATAGGTTGTGGTTTTGATTCCCAGTCAGGGCACATACCTAGGATACCTAGGTTACAGGTTTGATCTTCATTCAGGATATGTACAAGGGGCAACCGATATCTCTCTCTCTCTCTCTGCCTCCTCCCCTCCCTCTATCTTCCCACCACCCCCCAAATAAATCAATAAACATATGCTCAGGTGAGGATTTTTTAAAAAAATTCTTTAAGGACCTTACTATGTATGTGATTTTTAAAATAAAGTCTTATCCTTTATGACAGTTAAATACTTAAACTCAAAATGACATGATTATATAAAAGATTATAGATTTGTTCCCCCTGGCTGATGTAGCTCAGTGGATTGAGTACGGGCCTGTGAACCAAAGAGTCACTGGTTCAATTCCCAATCAGGGCACATGCCTGGGTTGCAGGCCAGGTCCCCAGTGGGGATCACGTGAGAGGCAACCACACATTGATGTTTCTCTCCCTCTCTTTCTCCCTCCCTTGCTCCCTCTCTTCCCCCCCCAAAAATAAATAAATAAAATCTTAAAAAAAAAGATTACAGATATGTTTAAAAAATAACCCTGTGTATTTGTTATTTTGATATTTTCTAAATAGTAGTGAAATTAGGAAGTTACATTAATTCACACTTGCATCAGTTTATCAGCCACAGGCACAGCCAAAATATCAGTGTTTGTTTTGCTTCCCATCAGAACAGATTTTTATTATAAGATATTGATTGCCCTGGCTGATGTAGCCCAGTTGATTCGGTTTCCAGTTTAATTCCCCATCAGAGCTCACTCCTAGGTTGCAGGTTTGGTTCCTGGTCAGGGCACATATGAGAGGCAACTGATCAATGTTTTCTCTCTCACATTAATGTTTTTCTCCCTTTCTTTCTCCCTCCCTATCCCTGTCTCAAAAAATAACTACTTTTTTTAAAAAAGTATTGATTAATGAAAAGATGACTAGTATATTCTAAGAACAAAGTTAAGACTTGCTTGATAGTTTATTTTTCTATGAATTTTGCCTTTCTATAAATTTTACTTATTGATCACAGTATTACAAAGAGTGAGAAGTATAATATTTGCTCATGTGGTATTTCCTATTGTCTGTTATTGTGGGAAGTACCACCTGCTTTACTTTTTTCCCTAAGTTTAAATTATATAACCCCTGAGCACAGAGACTAGCATTTGTTTTAGTTTATAATATTTTAAAATCCTTCAACTTAAATTGTTTGACTTTATAAATTAATAAACTTCTGAGGCCATTTATTGGCATGGTTTTAACCTGTCATTGGATGAACAGATTAAATAATTACATAATTTTGCATTATTTCCCTACAAATTTTTTAAATCTATGTATAGACATATAAACTTTGTACTGTTGCTTATCTCCTTATAGCTATAACAAAGAACAGGCTTGAACTCTTAATATTTTTTAAAATGTGCATATGCCCAAATTAACTACATTTCCAGTTTGTCTAAGACTTCTAATTTAAAGTTATATATCTCACTTTTCAATTATGTTTTCCTGTTTAGTCTCCCAACCAAAACATTGCAAAATAGCCAATTATCCTCCTTCAAAGACTCTCTCTTTGACAGCACTGCCCTAACTTGCTTTCGAATAAGTACTATATCTTGTTTATATACACTATATGAATCATATGTTACTTCCATCATAACAGTGTTTCTTCATTTAGTCAACAAGTATTTGAGCACTTTCTACATTTAGGACTTTTTCAAGGTTAAAAGACAAATATCTGATTTTAAGAGATATAATGTAAAAATGACAGACAAGCAAATTAACAATTATATATGATACGCACTATTAAATATTTGATTTGGTGTCAAAGCAGATAGGACCACTTCAGGGAAGTTTACATAGAGAAAGTAGTGTTTAACCTGAGTCTGAAGCAAATAGGAGTAAGTTAGACAAAAGAAGCAAAATATTCTACACAAAAGGAACTACCTACAAAAGTAAGGAGGCATGACAGACGATGTCATTTAGGGGAACAGCAAATAATTTGGTATTACTGAAAGGAAAGGCTCTTGTTAGGGATATGGGGCAGAAATTAGCTAAATTTGGAACTTAGACCAAGAAAGATGACATTCTTGGTTATTTAGACCCTTTTTTTTTTTAAGTCAGAGAAGCACAGATTGTTAAGCAATGGAAGAACACTATTAAATTTGCATCTTAGGCTGGTGAGGCTCAGTGGTTTGAGCACCAGCCTGCAAACCCAAGGGTCACCAGTTTGATTCCCAGTCAGGGCACATGCCCTGGGTGGCAGGCCAGGTCCCCAGTTGTAGAAATGCCAGAGGCAACCTATCAATGTATTTCTTGCACATCAGTGTTTCTCTCCTTCTCTTTCTCTGTCCCTTACTCCTTCTAAAAATAAATAAATGAGATCTTTAAAAAAATTTGCATCTTAACATCTGTCTGAGAACACTAGAAGATATATTGGAAGGCACTGAGAAAGGCAAAAAAGGCCATCATAGTCTGTCCCCAAAGAAAGGACACTGTCATGTAATTTAAGCAGTTAAGGGCTTCTAAATTTACTATGTTGTACACCTGAAACTAATAGAATATTGTATGTTAACTGTAACTGAAAAATAAAAACATTTTAAGTAATAATGATAAGTTTAAAGCAGTGGTAATAAGTGTACAGATAAATGGAGACTGGACTTATGAAATTTATTAGATAGGATTTAAAGAACTTGATTAACTTTAGATATAAATGAAGATACAAATATAGAGATGCAAAGAGGAAAAAGTTAAAACTCTCCACAATTCACAAAAATATGAACTATAGGAAAAGTTTGTTGTTGAAGTCTGAGGTATGTGTGTGACAGCTATGTGAATGGAAATTTTCCTTAAGTAGTTGGACTAGAGTTCCAAATTCTATTAAGTTTGAGTTGTGGGTCTTTAGGTAGCAGTTGAAGCTGTAGGTTGAATGAGTCTCCTAGTAAGAAGATACACAGTGAGAAAGAGTGATGGGCTAAGGACAGAACATTATTTTTTTTTAAAGTGCAGGATTTAATGAGCTCTCAAAGAAGTTAGACAAAACCATAGAGATAGAAGACCTAAGGCAAAGTGGTATCACAGAAGCTAAAAATTGTTGGATGTTGGATGCAGGAGAGAGGAGTAGTAAAACATTAAATGCTATAGAGAGATTGACTAAAAGAACTTTTAAAAAGGCATTTATTTAATTTGTTTATAGGAGATTATTGACCCTCGTGAAAACTATTTCATTAAAATGGTTGGTGCAACAGTTAGGTCATATTGAATTGAGGAGTGTGCAGAAGAGTGAATGATGAATAATAGACTACAAGCCGGGCTGTGAGAAAGACTTAATTCTAGAAGATAAGGACTCACTGAAGGTACAGAGTGATGACTGAAGGAAAGTTGGACTCGAGAGCAAACAGAGAATGTTACAATTAGAATTTTAAAAAGCTTATCTTTTCCTTAGAGACAGGAGGGAAGAAGGCATAGAATTCTATGCCATGATAGAGTAACTGGGTTAATCTGTAATATAGTTGCATTTATTGATCTGTCCAACTAACTTAGAAGAGAATAAAAATGTTAAAATTCCAGTGACCATTCTTCATTCATTTATAAGTAGAAGTCCTCTTATATTTAATCAGTGTTCGTAACTTCTATCTGACCTTGTGTGGTTTCTTAATTTGATTTCATGCCCTATCCCCAAAATTGGGTACCGGCTAAAAATTCCTACTATATTTAATGTGACCTTTGAGAATCATGACCTTTTTAACATCCTTTGTTTGTTTTGACAGTCCAAAGCAGCATATGTACTCTTCTACCAGAGGCAAGACACTTTCAGTGGAACTGGCTTTTTCCCTCTTGATCGAGAAACTAAAGGTGCTTCAGCTGCCACAGGCATCCCGTTAGAAAGTGATGAAGATAGCAATGATAATGACAATGATATAGAAAACGAAAACTGTATGCACACTAACTAATGAAAGTCCTAGAAGCCATAAAAGAGAGACTTTCCTGCTGGTGGTATCTATTGAAATGAAGTTATCCACCACATTAAACAAAAGTCTGAGATGGGGCGTTTCAGATAACCGAATGTAAATCCTTTATCAGATTTTAACTTGTGCAGTACTTGAAGTGAAACACAATGAAAACTTTAACAGAAATTGTCTCTTAATACATTTACAGTCTTGTATTTACAAGCTAAATATATATAGGAAATCACAAATAAATCCCTTTTAAGTTTGCTGCTGTTTTGATGAATTATGTTTTCTTTAATTTTTTTGGATGTGAGTTAATTGATGACAAATGTTAAATTTGTGGATGTTGGTCATTTATTTTGCTCTAATAATACTGCAAGAAAACTATGGCTGAACTTAGTTTTTGGATAATCTAGTTCATGTGCATTAGGCTGCCACATATACTACTACGATATTTAACTGCAGTACCAATGTGGCATAAATACTGCAGTAGTATTCTAGGAAAACCAAATTTTCAAACTATTCCTGGTAATCACTGTGGGCCTATTGAAAAAAACAAATCATGAGATAAGAAACAATTTTGAAAAAGTTATATCCTTTTGTAGTATCATTAAATATCATCTTACTGTGGAAACAGGTTCTAGATTTCATACCCCATCTAAAGTAATTTTTCAGTTAAATGTAAGTTTTTTTCACAGCTATTGGGATCTATTCATTAGACATTCAAATTCTTGACTTGTTTTAAAATGCATATCTTTAATCTGGTGTTGGTTCACAATTAAAATTTTTGCTGTCTGTTTTTCTCTACCCCATTTTTTTTTTTTTTTTTTGGTAATTTGGCAACTTTTAGCTCTCCCAATTATTGTAATGTAAGGACAGACTTAATAGTATTCTGTATCCATAGTAATAATTACATCAAGGTTAGGATGAGAAATTTTTTCATATACTGGCCTTTAAATCATTAATGGACAATTGGCTTTAAAGGTAGGTCTGTTAACTTTCTTTGTGTGTTCCTGATGGAATTCACCATAGCCTTACAGCATTTCTCAGAAGGTAACTTGCTATAAGAGAATTGGCATTTGCATGTTCCAGAGTTAGAACCTGTACAGTATATAAAGCATACAAACCTTGAATTTGATTTTAGTTCACCACATTTAAGGATCCAGGATGCCAAAAATATGTGTGAACATTTGAAACATTTTTCATTCACTGCTTTTTCCCTTTGATCTAGTTCAAAGAATGTATTGTCAATTGGCATACAATACTGCCTTTAATAGAAAATCTAAATGCTGGGGCACATTTCACATATCGACTACCTGAGAAATTGCTTTGTGTCCCACTGTTATTAAAGCAAAAAGTATAATGTTCTTCACTTGAACTAATCAAATACAATAGATTATAAATTGTGTATTGTAAATAAAAGTTCACTCTGTGAGTGCACATTTTGGTAAATTATTTATTTATGTTAGCATTTAAAGTTTAAAAAATAATGCATTTGACCAGGATAATAAATAAATGAGGTATGTTGATCATGGCTTTGCTTTATACCTTGATATTAAAGCTGGTTTTCCATCCTGGTATTTTAAAAGCTGCTTTGGGTTTGTTTTTGTTTTTTTCTTTTCTTTTTTTTTCTTTCTTTTTCTTTTTTTTTTTAATGTAAACTAACCTCCAGCATGACAGAGGTTAAAATTTTGTCTGCACTTGAGTTCACTTGAGTTTACATTTGAAATGTGCATGTTTATTTATACAGATTTCAATAAAGCTATTCAAGGCCTTATTTAGTCTTTTATTTCTTACTCTGAATCTTTTGATAAAAATGGGTAGATGACTGACTATATGCTAGACTTTATAGTTATCATGTAGTTAAAAATGGAAAAGAAGGCATATCAGAGCAGTGAATCCTACCATTTAAGGACATGTTTTAAAGTTTATTTTTTTAGTTTAAACATTCATTAAACTGATGTTTGTGCACCTACTTACCATCTTGAGAGTAAACGATTATTGCTGCAGTCACAGAGCTTGCAGTCTTCTGCTGTCTACCAGCTAATAGCCTACATTTCCATTTTTCTGAGGTTTAGAGAAAAGCCAAAATTAACTTTTTCTAGCCCTAGATTTCAATTTCCACCCTAATTATCTATAGAGACCATTCTTTTTTAATACCTGTAATTCTATTCCCACTAAAAGAAGTATTTTTTCATTGGACATGGTATTAATGCCATTGGATTTGTCAAACTTAAATGACATTATCAACTGCAAAAAATAAACTGTAAAAGTCTTATAAAAGGCTAATCTATACTCTAAAAGCAGCTATTCATTGGTAATACAGGGTGGTAATAGTATATCCAGTAGAATATATCTAGAATTCTACTTCTAGCTTTGCTGCCTAGTAGTCATATGACTTCAAACTTAATCTCTGAGTCTGTCTCATTACATGTAAAATAATGATAACAATAAAAGCAGCATTTATTGAGCACTCACCACAGACCAGGTACTATGTTAAATGTTATATGTATTATCTCATTTGCCACAATAACTGTGAGGTAGGGACAGTCACCATCCCCATTTTTCATATGGAGAAACCAAGGTACACAGCAGTAAGTAAACTCTCAAGTTCTCACATGATTACTCTGTGGAGGAGCCAATAATTTGTCTTCATATGTATATAATACCTTCCACTGTTAACAGCCTCACAGGGTTGTTGACAGCTCAAATGAGCTCATGTAGTTTATGGGAAGGTGCTTTGTGAACTATGCAGTATACTCATTACTTATTTCTTCAGTCTAAATGGAAAGTCATCTTGAAGTCTAATAACTTTATCCCCAGCTCAATATTTGAGTACTGAGTAAGAAAGATACCAGCTAGAATATTGATTAACCTTTCCCTTTTAAAATTTAACTTCTGTACATTTATTACAATTTTAAATGTTATATGGCATTTTTTCCCTTATCTTGTTCATCTAACTTAAGGGTTCATCACAATGTAAAGAAGCGTTCACCTGTCCCTTCTTTACATTTCCCCGAATGCAACCCTGACTTTCATGACTTTTTCTACACCTCTACTTTAGTTTTAATTAAACTCTGTAAAGAAGCTGTTCAGATGTTTGCTTTCTCCTATAATCTGCATAATAGTCATATTTTAATCTTTGCTTTCCTGGCAACTAGATAGGAAAACTACACAAAATACTGATTTGGGCATGAAGATCAGTAAGCACTAAAGCCATTGGTACAGTATGAAGACAGTGATTTTTCATCAACTAATTTCACTGAGGTGATAACATAAGAAAGAAGCTGGGAGACTCTGAGAGAAGATAAGGGGTGTCTCAGTCAAGGGGTGGGGGGAGGCATTCTGGTACGAATCTTAACCGCAGGAATGTACATTAATGGTGCATTGTGATCATCAAAAGCAGGCCAACTTGTACTCTGTTTTATTTAAATTCTTTACTGATGAGGTGTTTCATTTATTGCCTGCTTTCCACCCACCCCCTACCTGGTATGCTTGTGGTCTTTGCTTGTACAATGTAGATGAGCACATTCTCTCCAGTTTAGTTTTTAAGGTAGAAATGTGAAGAATTCTTGTACATTAGGGGAAGGAATAGTAAGCTTTCTAAAATCTCAGAAGAGTGAGAAGGAAAGGAAAATTTCATTTTTAAAGCCAAGGAAGAGTACTGGAAATCTTTATTCACCTTTTTTTCTCTACAATAAAATAAACTTTTTTTAAACAACTTCTCTTGAAAATACATTTTTATTGATAACTGACAATTCTTTTAAGTGCCAGGGGATAGAAAAAGAAAAAGTTGTTTTATATCCTGCTGACTTACGTATTAAGTTGCAGAGCTATGTTATATTGTTTTGTTACCAAATTTTTCTAATGAAAAATACATATAATTGTGAGCATTATTCTAGCTTGGGGAGCATTTCAATTCAGTTTGTATGTTTTGCATGTGTTTAATTGATATTTACTATGTATTAAGAAAAGGAATTTCCAGAAAGCTCAGGCAACAAAACTGGATGAGTATATTCAAAGTTTTATAAGCTGCATAGAATAGTTTTCTAAATATCAGAATTGGGAAGAAAAAATATACATGGTAAGAATTCAAATACTGATCAAGCCTAATTTGCACTAATGGTGGGGTAAAGAATTTTAAAATGGATAATATGAAACAATACAAAAATTATTTTTGACAAATGTATGCATTCTCACCCCACATCATACATGGTCTAATTGTATTCTATCTCAGCTCTGCCTTTGGGAGCCTGGAAATTGCCAGGGTTGTGAAAGCGTAAAACTCCAGGTTATTAAGGGAATCCAGAAAGTGAATAAACTGTTAAAATCAAAATTTGACATATTTTGGACTAGACTGTCAAAGGACAGAGAGAAGATCAGTCAAATGTATTTTATGTCTTTTTTTTTCTAGAAATGTCTATACAAAGCAGCTAAAATGCAACTTTGAAAATTGTTCTTTTAAATGGAAATGCTGAAAAAGAAGACTGCATATTTTTAATATGCACAAAATCAAATATTTTAAATGTTTCAATTGTATTGCTAATTAACTATGTTCTGTAGAAAATCATGGTTGAAGTTGGTGCTCATTTTGCTCAAAATTTTCCCTCCTTGGGAACTTTCGGCTTGTTCTATATAGCTTGGTGAAGGAATGGAATTTATACACATAAAAGTAAAACAATAAATATGGAAACATCCCAACAGCCTTTTCCCATCATGTTTATTCTTAACATTTTTCTCAGTAGTGACAAATTCTTAACACTTCCCAAACTATTGTTTTAAACCTTGAACATTACCTTGCTTTTTAATTCTTATTTAAAATCTTTCAGGATTCCTAAACTTTGTAACATGTTAAACAGAAGTCACATTAAAACTTTTTTATAGGACTTCTCCTTTAAACCATAAAGAAATACTGGAGGTTAACAGACATTGTAACTCCTTATTCATCCTCCTAATTGACTTTTAGGGACACTAGGCTTTAAATAATTCAGACCATGCTCTGCTTATGTCTGGCCTTAGGTGCGTGCCTTCACTCTTTCACAAGGCCTGCTTTCTTCTGCCCTTGACCTCTCCCTGTAAGTAGTGAAAGTATTTTATTTCCTTTCTAGTGAGAACCATCTTTTTGTTTATGTCACCTGGGCAGTTTTTCAGTTTTATGAGTTCAACAGAATTAATCCCATCATGTCCTTTTAACTCATTTTCTGCAAGAAGCTCAAGATGCCCAGGTCATTTGTTCATCCCCTGAACCTCCGAATTCCTGTGGTGAATTAACAGTGTCCTGAA